CTAAAATCTCTTTGGAGATATTCCATGTACCACATTATATATGAACTGAGAAATGAAACATCTGTGACTAATACAAAATTGAGTCTGTCTTAAATTATAATTAACAGCAATGAGAAATGTTGCCTGTTCACTTTTTCAGAGAATCAAGTCATCTTTTTATCATTAAAAAGCTTGAGCCAATGATTATTATTTGTATAATTGCCTTGCCCACTGCTTTTCTAAATTGCAGCTCAAGAATTACAATAGAATATGAACAATGAGGACTCTCACCACAATTTAATAGGCCTTCAAAAATTAGTTTTCAGGGGACTTTAAGGTTTTTATAATGCTTAATCTGTAAGACCTCTTTTGGCCCCATATCAAATATTCATATCATCTTTTTCTTTGTACAAAACACTGAGTTGATAGAACTTTAACTTCTAGCTTTAGAAAATATATAATACTAATTTTTCTCCTGACAAAAACTCCAAGAGAATGTAACAAAGGAGAAGAGAATGAATTAAATTTCTTGGGGGACCCATGCTGAGGGCTCCAGGCTGTGTTCATGGAAGAAGTGAACTCCTTGCACATCAGTGCTTTATCACAGACACGGGCCTGATTCCCAAGGCCTCCCCAGCCTCTTCTCCCTCCCACCGCTCTGACATGGGCCCTTTACTTCAAACAGTCTAGGCTATATCTGTCCTGCCAACATTCCTCACAGCTTGGGGCCCATCGCTAATCTTTTCTAACTCTCTTGCAATGCATTCTTCAAAGTTCCTCCAGTCTCACCTTCCATTTTGAAGTTTCTTTGACAATGAGCATTCTTGCTTTACAGTGAATTCTTTGTCCTATGAATTCCCATTTTAGCCCCATGGTCTCTCCTTCTTAACTATGTGGGTGCCATATCACCACAACTCAACCAGAAGCTACTCATAGGCATACTGTTACCTATCCTTCATTAATAGGAAGAGCAATTCTTTGCACCTGTAAAAACACTATGGAAAACCATAAACTGGTTTTCAGATTGTAATCTCCTTACATATCCCTTATTACTTCCATTTCACAATAATCCTGTGAAGTAAGCCAGGATACTCTTCTAATATTAACACTGTACAGATACAGAGAGTTAGTCTTACACATAGTTAGTGTCAAACCAATGGTACCCTAGCCAAGACTAGAAACCAGCTCTAGTGTTCTTTTTACTGCCAGTTGTTCCAATATTTTTACATGAGAATACCATTCAAACATCTAATGGTCCCCCAAATGATTGTAGCCTTACTTAATTTATTGTCTATCTGCCCTCTGGTGCTTACCTGCCAACTGTGTGTACCCCTCTGACAGCCAATCAAACCCGCTTTGCCTGCCATACCTCTCCCAGTCCCCACTGCCCTCCACTCCCCAGTCACACTCAGTCTCCCAGCTCTGGTCCTGCTGGCAGGCCCTCTCCCACTGCCAATTGGTGATCCCTTGTAACATAAATCTTAGTTTCACACAAAGGAACAAATCCCTTCTCAATATGTTCCTACATCTTGACATTCCATTCTATTAAGATGCCTGTCCCTGGGAAAGGGAATTCCAGCATGGGCCCTGACAGAGCTGAGTCTCTATATAGTGAGCATCAGAATATATTTAGCAATCCTATCTAATAAAGAGGAAATATGCTAATTGACCTTGACGCCATCACAAAGATGGTGGCACCCACAGCTAATTAGGAGAAAATATGCTAATTGACTGCCCTATCCTCAAATATGGCAGCACCCACAGCCATAAGATAGTGGCATCCAGTCTCCTCAGCCCCACCCCCAGTCCTCTCAGCCCTCCAACTGCCTCGAGCTGGCCTGAGGCACAAGCAAGCCTCAGATGGCAGCTGCCCAGCTACCCAGGGCTGCCCCTGGCTCAGGTAACCAGGACCTGCTGAGACTTGTGCTGCCAGCAGTGGCAGCAGAAGAGGTGTGATGGCCTTCACCTGATCACTGGTTTGCCTACCAACCCTGAGGGCTCCAAGACTATAAGAGGGGGCAGACTGGGCTGAAGGGACCCCTCCCCTTGCCCCCTGCCTCCAGTGCATGAATTTTCATGCACCAGGCCTCTAGTATATTATAAATTGGGGTCCACAAAGAGTTTATCATTCTCAAAGAATACCTATATCTATGAAACAACTTCAATTCAAAATGCTATTAAGATAAACATACAAAATTAATGATTTAAAACATCTTGTTGGCTCTCTAACAATCATGTTTACTCCTATTATCTCTTTTTTTTTTCCTGCCTATGTCTCTGCCTCTTCTCTTTTCCACCTCTCAATTAACCTGGGCCTTCAAGCATATGAAAAATGGTCATAGGCAAGAAATGGGGCAAAAAGCATTGTAGACTGTGCGTGGGCAAAGGCATAGAGGCATGAATGGAAAGGTGCTCTAGTGTAGGGATTCAGGTCTGCAGTCAGGGAGACCTGGGCTTTAATTCAGACTCTGGCAGTAACTAGTTGTGTGATTTTAGGCAAGTTGCTTACGCTCTCTAAACCCAAGTCTTTTTATCTATGTAAAGGTCATAATACATTCAATTACAGAATATAATCATGATATAATCTCAATAAGTGATATAGAACAATGAAGGGATTCAACACGAAATCTATCACATTTTTAATACTCAAAATATGATGGACCGAGAGAGATGTGATTAGCGTATTGGTAAATAACAACTGAGGGAGGCAGGCCCTGTGGTGCGTGCCTTACATACATCTTTTCACTTTGCTCCCACCACAGTGAGGAATTCGAGGCTTAGACCGGATAAGTAACATGCTCAATGTAAAAACACTTACGTTGCAGAACTCTTCAGCCTACTAAACCTGAATGTTTCCCTACTACTCTCCCAAGATGTCACTGATCATAAAAACTTTGGAAGCCAGGCTGTGAAATCTCTACCTTGTTCTGTAGACATTAGAGCCCACACCATGTGTTTCAGTGGGCAGCGATGTCTACCTAAGCTTCAGAAGGGTGCCTGGCATTCACAGGCATAATTGGGTGAGAAGGACCAGTCCGGAAGCTATTAAACTGAAGTGGTTAAGTCCTGCCTGAAGCAGTAGGAGTCAAGTGTGGAAAGGAAAACAGGGGATGTGGCCAAGGAGGGTCCTGAGCAATGTGCAGTGGGAGGATGGTGCCATGTGGCATAAGAAAGAAACAGAAAAACAGGGAACTGTTTGTTTTTTAATAAACAACAGCATTTCACCTCCTTCTCCTTTCAGATGCTCCTTTAAAACCTGCCTCCTATGAGGTAAAAAGAAGGGTATCCTAAGAGTCAAATGGCCTGCCATCCTTGCACTTCAAGCATGAACTAATAGTGTGACAGTGCTTTAAACAGCAGAAGGTGTTATTGTAACGTAATAGCCAATGATGTCTCTGAGGCACATGATACGGACAAAATACAATCCTGTACCAGCCTCCATGTTACGGACTAATCAACTGACTGATTATTATCCAAATCAGGTTTACCTGATTTCAACTCTTTTTCCATTAGTGCTCTCCTGATGCATTTATTCTTTCTAATATATCAGGTTTAAAATATCAACTCTGGTGCAGAGTATTAAGACATTCACATTAAAATCACTGGCTTAAAGTTTCATTGTATTGATCTGATTTTTAGAGTCAGCACTCACAAAAATATTAGCTATGCTATGCTGCAATGCAAAATTGACTCAAATGGAACATAAAACTCACCCCGAAATAATGCAATCCACAAAGACAAGTATAATCCAGGCTGATTCTCACCCCACCCCTGCTGATTCTGCCTCTCTGTCACTATCTCTGTAGTAGTCTGTTAAAGGTGCCCTTAGCAATAGGGAGTGGTCCACATACTGAGAAACTGAGGAATCAATGTGGATAGGAAGGCATTGTTGACTTCTGACAGATCATCAGAGGCAGGTAGAAGGGTGGAAAGTACATAAGCCAAGAAACAAATGAACAAGGCCTGGTTGGTGGCATTAGCTTAGCTGAATCACTATAAGCAAATCACTTATCCGTATTTCAAATTTTAATGACCATAAAATGACACACTGACATCTGTGATGTGGACAGAACTATGAGCCGCACAGAGCAAGGTTCAAACCCAGGATTCACCACTTTGGCTAGACAAATCCCTCTTTTCCCTCAGGTTTCTTCCTCAGGCTGGGAGAAATAATTCTTACCTCAGCAGCACCATAGCAAGGATTAAATGAGATAATGTGGTAAATGTACTTTGTACAGAACACACTCAATAAGTGTTCTTTTCCTTCCTTCCTATTTTAAAGGGCTGTTAGGGGAATCCAATTATAGTAGAAATGAATATACTTGAAAAAATTTGAAGATCTATGCAAGTGCAAAGCATTATTATTATGATTATGATCCTTCAATTCAATTTTCTCCTCTTATTCATACATTGGTGTTCTTTTTTTTTTCTAATGGTTTGTGGATAAAAGACAAGCAGAGAGGAATAGAGTTAAAAAAAAACTAATGCATACAGTGGAAATCTAATGTTTCTTTATTTGTTCCCAGCTTTGTGGAACTTGGTAAATCAGCAAATAAAACCAATCAGTTTCAATTAACTTTCCTGGAAGTGAGGAGGCAAAAATAAAAGAGCAAGTTATATATGTGTTTTTAAAACTTTTCCAGTGCTGAAAAAGCCACTGAAGTCTGAGGAGCAAAAAATAATAATAATATGCAATGACATTACTAAAAAATTACTACCTGAAACAACACTTCTAAGACACTCCAGTGACTGGGAAAGAGCAAGAATCAGGGTTTCTGTGGGTTATGCTCTCACTCATTTGCTATTGCACTGCTATGGCTTTAAAGAAAAAGTGGATTTCCAAAGTCGGCACCCTAAATTCGGCAATACTGACAGCCCCCAAAATAGAAATAAAAAGCCTGACTAACGTACCAGCAGCTATGAGAACTGGCCTCAATAATGCCACTGGTGGGCTGCTCTTGTAAAGACACACACATAATGGGAACACCCACAACTGGACCCGAGCACGGGAGCAGAGGGAGAGGAATTAGAAGTCAGGACGCTCAATTTAATTTCAGAAGAGACATGTCAAGTTTCAAGATGTAATTAGTCCATTTCTTGTTTGTTTTTTAAAGATACTACTCTTTTTGCATATTCCTTTTTAAAATAGAATTCTTCAGGATTGTCCTCCTAGGAGCTTGGTTATACAAGGAGCTCCTTCCTGGTACTGCTTACTCTCGTGGAATTCATTCTTCATTTAAAACATGGAAGGGAAAGGAACTGACATAAATCTAGTGTTAAAATATAGAAAACATTGTAAAATGGCCATGTGAAGCTGAAAATCCAAACATCATCTCCTCTCTTCATCCACAAACACTGTTTTTACTTCACTGAGGTGCCTACACATTAAAAAACAAACATAGAGAATAGATTGTCTCCTTCAATACCCTCACTTCTCTAATAAGAAATACCTGGAATGCCTTATTGGACCTGGCAATTCCTTGTCTAAATGTTGTAGCTCTGTTGGATTTAGAATGATTACTGTTACAACCAATAAACCAGAGAATAGTAGCTAAAATGGGGGGGGGGGGGGGGGGCAAGGAGAGGGGACATTAGTCAGCTGCTCCATGCTGTACATTACAGTTCTCCTCACTGTGGAGCTTTTTCATCTTTTGAATTTGGGGAAAGGGGTAAGATAGATGCTATGTTTTTTTAAGTTCACACCATGTAAAGAAACCAACCATCCAAATCATGATGGTGTGCAGAGATTTTATTTCTAATCTTTCTGTGCAAAATGCTTTGTTAAATCCTGATGACAACTTTTATGCATAATGCATAAAATAAACTTTGCCAAAGTCTAAGGCACTTCTTAAAAATCAAACCCCTTCAGAAGCCAAGTGACACATTCCAGGCAGGACAAGGCGCTGCGGCTCCCCGGGAACACCACACTCCAAGGCTGGCAGAGAGCACGGGCTCAGTCCCATTACCTCCCAAATGCCAGCTGTGGGTGCTCACCTTGGTTTACTTGCATCAAAATCACATGCTATGTCTTATGAGACTCTTCACATATTGATGCCTCATTTATGGACTCCATAAATTCAGCTCTGTCTTTAACACTTCGGGGAATCTTCACACTTTAAAAAGACCAGGTTCTTATTTCATATAACCGAGAAAAATTTTATCACTGATGGAAAAATGTTTTTAATATATCTGTGTGTGTGTGTGTGTGTGTTTGTGTGTGAATTAGTATTTCTACACATGTATGTATCGTTTGATAAATCAGATAGGTAACTGCAGTTCAAATCTTATGGCTGTTTTTTTGCTTACTTAAAGCCATAAAAATAGAGACTGGGAAGGGAAAAAAACGTAGCATTCAAAAGTAGGTGCTATAAATCCTGTCATGCACGAGCCAAATAAAAAATAAATAAATAAGAAATCAGAATAATAACCATGTATCACTAGCCAGTGTCACTAAAATGATTTGTTTTACTCCTCTAATCTTTACCATATCTAAACTGACTATAATAAATGAATAATTGCTCTGAATACAGAGCAGTTAATTGAAAAACCGCACCAAGTATAAAAACCAAGAAATCATAACACAAAATACACGGTTTCATCAGTGTTTAGGAACTTGTCTTTGTCAATATTTTTAAGGTTCAATATAAATGATACTGTTTACTATCATAGATCATAGACCATCTGAATTATGTTAGATGTCCCATGAATATTAATGGTCTTAAGTTACAGGACATTTCATCAACACACATCCAGGTAGGAAATGCGGGTGGAGTTTGTCTTCTTCCTGAGAGAGAATGGTGTGAAGACCTAGGTGAGCTTTATCTTCCAAGTCAAGTTTCTAAGGGTAGGCCCTATTCAGAAGGCAGGGGCCAGTTTGACAAAGGGTGGCATCCCCCTGGATTTAGAAGGTGTGACATCTAGTTCCTAGGCAAATAAATATTTGTTTGTTTTTTCAAAGTTCCAGTCTGGACATTCATTTGCCATTGTGTGTACAAAACAATTCAAATCCTAAGAGGGGGGTGGATATTAGAATGCAGAGACAAACACTGATTGTTGATTTTAAACAGTGTTTCCCTGGGAGAGCACACCTTTGTTTTAGGCCTCCCTCAATACACACAATGATTTTAAGAATTAGTTGAATGAAAACAAGGGCACGAAAAAGAGTTGTTAATCATTTGGGCCAGTGAAAAATATCCTTTCAGGAAAATCTTTGAAAACCTATAGCACCTGCATTTGCATTAAAGTTGTATTATATGATTTTTTTTTATTGAAAATAAAGCACTTTTGGGCTCAGTTCAATAATAACAGCTTACCGGAGAGTAATTGAAGTTATCCAATTCTCTTCCTATTGAAAATGACCTACAGAATATACACAGAGGCCCACACAAAAAGTCTGTCATGCAATTTTATTGAGACTGAAGTAAAAAGGAATTGGGGTTAGGCACTGTGTGAGCATTTAACGCACACCAAATGATGATATGGTAAGGGGAAATTATCCCTTTTTCTTCACGTTTCTTTTCCAAATTTTCATCTTGTTTCACCCCCTGCTGAGCTCCTATTGACTTCAAAGAGAGGTCCATGGGGGTCCAGAGCAAGATGAGGATTTGGCCCCGCATGCATAATTTTTGTGCTCTCTTATTCATAACATACACAATAAGCACTGGATTTGAAAAGGCTCTTACAGAGGCTGATAATGGCTCCCCAACGATCTCGTATCTTCTTGGTATACTAAACGATATGGCCAATTGTGCCGGTGGAAACATTGAAAACTCTGAGGAAAAGACCATGCCAAGTCTTTGTTATTATCCTCATCTATTATTATTACTCTAGCTAATAATAGCAATATTTATGTAGTGTTAGAACCACAATCTCACCACTGTAACTTAAAAGGCCGCAGGCATATCTGAATCTTTGTAATAAGGAGGATGTGCAGAAAATTCTGAAATCTTCTCCCAGGAAATCTCAAGGTGCAAGAAGACATCGTGTGGACCAGCACACAACAGCAATAACAGAAAATTACTGGGGACAATGATGAAGAAATAATAGATGGGATAAAGTCACTTTTCATAATACTGGTATGGAAGACAAGTTACTCTGTTTGGGGACTACAAAGGACAGAGACACTATCAGAAAGGAAAGTTGAAGAGAGAGAAGGCTGGAATGGTCCTGGAGTTGGTGGGTGGGTGAACCAGCAAGCTATTCTAGCACTGTGGAAAGAATAAGATATGAGAAGTGGGGGGAGACTGTGGAAGTAATAATGGCAACTAACAACCTAAAGGAATCTGACCATCTTGGGAAGCAAAAGAAATACAATACCATGTCATTACTATCTTATTCACAAATAAAAGCATGTAATCACGTACAGGCAAATGAATAGCAAGTAAAGAAAAATCAATATCCCTGATATCCATTTTGGTCCATTATTATTTCATCCTATAAAGATATGATCTACACATGTGGTTGCTCTAATATTTCCTCTTATTTTTAGTTTACCTTCTCAAACATCGATGTCTTACTATTATACGTTAGTATCAAAAAACTGACAAGATCACATAATTACTGAGCAATTCACTCACATAAATTTAAGTTATTTATTATTTCAACATTTCTTGAGATCTCAGATCCTAAAAACCAGTTGCTATCTCGTCCCCTGGAAGCACATTTGTAGCTTAGATGGCAGCAAGACCGTATCCCCTATTTATAGAAAAGGCCTTCAACTTACAAAAGGTAGTGGGCAAAAATTAAAATGGCATCAAAACCTATGAAGCACTTTATGGTTTGTTTACAAAGTAGTTTCATATATTTTATTTCATTTGTGTCTCTTCACAATACTGTAGATCAGTTGAAAAGAAGAAAGTGGAACTTCTGATTATCAGGCTTCCAACAGACTTCTTTGCCCTAGCATAGAAATCTTCAGCCTTTTTCACCTCATGGCACACATAAACCAATTACTAGAATTCTGTGGCACACCAAAAAATATATTTTCTTTTTTTGCCGATGTGACAAAAAAAGAAAGTATAATTGAGATTCATTCACACCGAACAACTATTGTTGTGTTGGCTGTTGTCATTATTTTATTTGACAATCTAAGGGAAAGAGGTCAATGTCCCTGACTAAATAGTCAGATATTGCATGGTGTGTTTTTTTATTTGTGTGTGTGTGTGTGTGTGTGCGCGCGCGCGCGCGCGTGTGTGGGGGTGGGAGGGTGGCTGTTAATCCTCACCTGAGAATATTTTTTTCCATTGCTTTTTCAGAAAGAGTGGAAGGAAGGGAATGAGAGAGAGAGAGAGAGAGAGAGAGAGAGATTGATTGGTTGGTTGGTTCCTACAGGTCCAACCAGGGGGTAGGGAACTGGCAACCCAAGTATGTGCCCTAGACCGAGAATCAAACCTGAGACCTTTGGGTGGGAAGGCTAATGCTCTAACCACTGAGTACGCTTGCCAGGGCAGGTATTGCATGTTTTAAAAATTCTTGAGGCACACCAATTGAAAAATCACTACCCAGCAGATAGGGCACATAATTAAGAACCAGACATACTGCTTCTTTAGCCACTGACTACTTACTGGGATATGTTGCCTGTGACCTTTTCACAGCTTTTAACATTACTATTATCACACATATATGTGAAAGGGGAAAAAATGACAGTAAATCAGAGACGCTAGTATACACTGGGGTAGTAGTGTATACTAGTATAGCCTGCTTTCACTTCTTTGAGTTGAATGCTCTATCCATACAATGTTATCTGCTGTGCTAGCTCTATGCTTCAATAGTGGTGGTTCTGAAGACTGAACAGGAAAGACAAGGTTTGCTTAATACCCTCCTGTTTTTCCTTCTTGGACTCACTATTTAAAATGAAATCCATGGGCTTGTGGTTCCATTGGTCCCAGCACCTGGTTAAGCTCTTATTTCAGAGTAGGTAATCAATAAACACTTCTAAAAGGAATGAATCAATCAATGCATATGTTGTGTACAGAAACACCCTTTAAAAATAATTGAGTCATTTGCCTCTAAGAAGTTACTCAAACTTGAAAC